CCGCTGGCAGTGCCCTCACTCCCACACGTGCAGGACACACAATGCCTAGACACCTCCAGAGCGCACGGCACACAAAGATGACCCTGAGGCTCACCACCCACGGTCTACCACACCTATCCCCCCTGCCACCAGTAAGCAGCCCACCTACGCACCCCTCACCCCCACCGCCAACTACCAGGAAAGCAAGCCTGGAGACTCCCCTGGCTCCCGCATGGAATTGGATGAGTTCCAGACTGCACTGGGAGCGACTGGGCACGAGCTAGACCCCAGTCTGCGGGTGGAGACTCGGCCGGAGGCGGAGCGGAGGAGACCAGACGGGTCTTACTCCCCTCACACAGACGTAAGGCCAGACGGCCGGATCCCACCGCCCCACACCACTCCTGGTTACAGCACCCTGCGCGGCGGGGCAGACACTCACCGAGGGGCCGAGAGCGCAGGCGAGGACTCCTGCCAACACGCAGAACCAGAGGGTCGGCGGCAGGCTCGGCGGGCGCATGGTCGGCCCTGAGCCCGCGGCGGCGGCCCCGCGCGGGCAGCCAGGCAAAGTGGTGTTGCTGCGGGGGCCCCCAGAGCCAAGAGGCGCCGCTCCGGGCTGGGGGCGGGCCCCGGGGGCTCGTCTGACGGGCGGCGGGTCTAGCCAATGGATCCGTGGGGGCGGGGCCGCCTTGCAGGTGTGGGGCGGGGCTGGGGGCGCCCCAGCTTGCTTGGACTACTTGCGCTGGCCGGGCCAATCCCACAAGTCAGTTCTTGGTAGTGAGGTGCTGACAGGTCTTTGCCCCCTTGGGCCGCATCCCCCGGAGTCTTGATCTCTGACACGCCCTGTCTTTCCCAGCTTGGTTCATGACGCGTCTGAGAGCTTGGCTGCGGTCTCCCACCCCCGCACGCCCCTACTACTCAACTCCGGGGTGCCGTCATGTCCACCCTCAGACGCGCCTCCTCCGGGAGGCCTCCAGCAGCCTCTCCTGCGCCTAGGCGGAACGGTGAGGGTGTGGAGGGCTGGAGACAGGATTTGTCACTTATCTCCTCCCGCTGCGGTCTGCGCAGGATGTTGGGCTGGAAGCCAAGGGATCCGGGGCGGGAGGGTGTGGGGTAGGTATGTGGGACGCATTGTTTGATCCATTTTCAAACACAGCTACTCATCGGTGACGGGGAGAGCCCCGGCGCTGGGGAGCACCCGCGCGCGAGAGGCCAGGCTCTGGGTTCCTGCGCTCAGGCGAGCTGGCGGGGCGCGTGCGGCACCGGCTGGCCTTCCCAGCCATTTAAGACTGGGGGAGCTCGTGTTCCGGGCGGGCTGGAGTATCCGTACCCTCCAGGGTCCGGGTCCCGGCCCCTGAGTGGGAGGCTCGGCCGAAGTTCCAGCGCCCTCAAGCGGGGAGGGAGGTCCTGTGCCCAGCACATTGGCCCAAACTGAGCCCAGGACTCAAGACCAACCAGAGACCCCTCTTCCTCCTGCCTTCCCTATTTCACAGCCGGAGACACTGAGGCCCAGAGAAAGGCCAGGGCCCGGGCCGCCAACGTGGGGTGCCTAACTTCCTAAGTTCGGCGGGTGGGCTTCTGGGTGACTCCGGGCCAGCTCACTCCACCCCCCTCCCCCCGTACCTCGGGATCAGTTTACTTGTCTCTGAACTGAGGTGCAGGTTCCCACCTCAGCGCTCCGTTTTCAGGTGGCGCTTGTTCTTGAGGACCAAGCGCAGGTAACAGCCAAGACCTCTGTCGGAATGCTTGAGATGGAGGTTTGCGGTGCGGAGATGCGGTAGCCGCTGCGGGGTTGGGAGTAGTGGTGGTAAAAATGGTAGCGGGCTGGGGAAGGGCGGTGTTCAGTGGATGAGGACAGGGAAGCAGGCCCCCTGCACTTCGCAAGGACAGGCTACTGCTTAAAAGGGACTCCAGTACTAGGCGCTGGCCGGCCAGCAGGTGTGGACCCAACAGGACTTCCCTCACCACTGCGGGCTGCAGACCTGGGCTGAGGTGGAGTTGTGGGGAGGCAGGGGAAAGCCTGCAAGGGAAGAGCACAGGGCCTCTCCTCCAAATGGGCTTATTTGGGATCTAACATCTGCTTTCTCTTCTCCCTTCCTCCTCCCCGCTTCTTCCTCCCCTGTTCCCTGCCACAGTCTCTTCTTTCCTCCCTCCTTACCTCCCCTCCCTACAGCCCTCCCTCTCCTTCTTTCCTAGCACATGTATTAATAACTGGCTGGGTGCCAAGCTCAGTGCTGTGCCCTGGGGCAGCCTCACCAGGGAAGGAGCTCGAGCTATTGTAAACAGTTTCCACTCTTTCCAGATATAAGCCCAACTTTCTGCCTTCTTTCAGATACAACCAATGGGGCTGGACAAAGGCAGGTTCTTGCCCAGGTATGGGACCTGCGGAGAAGCCTCTATCCTGAATGCTCTGGGGTTTGGTGGTTCCCTCCCCAGCCCCAGTGGAGGAAGTGTTTGACAAATCAATAGCCTCTCCTCAGCCATCCCCACTTCTGAGGGACAGGCTGGGTTCAGGAGCTGCCTCCTACTGCCCTGACAGTCCCTACTGAGACCTCAGTTCCCCAGCAGGGCAGTGGGGTGAAGCCCTATCCTTCTTCTGAGGAGTCATCTCTGCTGCCCTAGGAAGCTCAGGTGTGCATGGCAAATGCTTGGGCTTTGGCTCTCGCTGAACCCGTGCCCCCTCCCACTAACCATGCAGCTAGCTGCCGAACAGTGACATCTCCCCGTTCTTGCCTATTCCCAACCTGTTGACGCTCGATCCTCTCTGAAGATAGGCGTTTGGGCAATGGCCAGTGCATAGAGGGGGTAAGGGTTAGGGAAAGGGAGGGAACCGGACCTCACTTTGCCATATGACCATCAAGCCAAGTCCAATACATGGTTGGTAGGAAGGAGAGGACATTTTTAAGCTGCCAGCACAAGATAGGTGACTGCCTCTCCCTTGTTCCAGAGGGGTGCTCTGCAGGAAGTCCCTCCTAAGCCCGAGGGCCCCCTGGGCAGTCTGGGGGCAGTAAGAGGGGCTGGCATGACATCTATTAATGCCATTGCAGCCCCCAGAGTCCTAGGAAGTTGCTAAGGGAAAATAGTTTTCTGCAGATTCCTTGAAATGAAAATTACTTTTGTTCTTTCAGAACAGTTCCCCTGGTAGACCCACCCTTCCGTACCTATCAAAAGGCACAAAACAAATTCAGAAGTAAAAGAAGGAGCAGAATACAGAAAATAACAAAGACAGACAAAAAAAAAAAACCTAAAAATTTCAACCGAAGTTACGTTTGATTATATTTCAACTAATTGTTCCTGCATGTCCAGTTGACTTGAGGCACTGGGGGAATGACCTGAGTGCCAGCCTTGGCAGGGCTGACCCATGAGATCTGACCAGGAAGCCAGTCTTACAATTACCCCATGACCTTGGCTAGGAAGGGGTGGGTGTCGGGCAGGAGGTGGGAAATCAAGTTTCCTGAGTGGGCAGGAATCAGTGACTTAAATCTGTTTTCTATCCCCCTACCCTGTCCAGAGCATCTAAATATCTGTGGGGTTGGCCTTTGCCCACCAGTCCAGGCTTGGGGAGGGGGTCACAGCTTCTCCTGCTCTTTTTCCTCATGTCCCCTTGCATGGATTCCTCCCTGGGGTTCTCTGGTCTTTCTTTCTGGTCCCTGGCACTTGTCCTGTCTCTGGCCCAAGCCCCACAAGCCTTCCAGATGCCAGATTCACAGGGGTGCAGAAGGTGGAGGGAGAAGGGGAGGCAGGTTCATGTGTTGTGACCCATGATGACAGGCACTGCGGTGGGGGAACCAGTCTGCAGTTACTCATTCAGAACCTGCCAGGCTTCCTGGCTGCCCGCCAAGCCCAGCAGGAGGTGCCACCCTGACTCCCCCAGGCTTCCCCCCACTTCCCTGAGTCGTGCACTCACTACTTTGAGACTCCCAGCTCAGGAAATCAATGTGGGAGTTTCCGTGGCAGAGCGATAAGGGTGGCTGGTGAGCACAATGCGGTCTTGGGTTTCAGGGTGGAAACTAGACCGGGGCCTCCCCGAAAGTCACGCTTTTAAGATTTCCCTTCCAGAGCCATCTCTGTTGCTCTGGGGTCACAGCCAAGCCCTGCCCTCTCTGTGCTTCTGAGGTGAAGGGACCACATCTTAGATCTTCAACCATAGAGTAAGACTGGAAGCTCCAGGGATTTGATGTGTTCTCCCCAGGCTAACCCTTTGGGGAGGGGCCACAGTTCTTTCTGTGAAAATATGTATGTGGGCTCCAAACTGTGCTTCGGTGGAGGGCAAGAGAGATGTAGGCAGGTATTTAAAGTAGAAGTGTCCCCCCCAACCCCCCACCCCATAAAGGCACATGGCCAGTGTCATCCTTCATCCCTCATGGTTCTCCAGCTAGTCTGGCCTGGCCCTGTTGCGGGCTCTGAAGGTTTCACAGTGACATAGACATGGGTGATCCCCTTCAGGGAACGTAGCACTGCTTGAGGGGAGCCCTGAGAGATCTGTTGATACTGCAGCTGCCTGAGGAAGAAAAATTAGTGGGGATGCAAGAGAGGAAGACTATTGTCCTGGCTTGACAGGCGAGGAAATGAAGCCAGTTCCCATTCTGAAAAAGCCTACACAGCCCCATGATCCTGGAGGGCCAGGCCTTAGAGCAGGAAAGGGACAGGGGAAGCACAGCACCAGCTCTAGGTGGGTCTCGCAGATGAGCAGGAGCTCAGATGAGATAGGATTGCAGAGCTAGGGTTGCAAGTGGCTGGGGGACCCTGGGAGACATAAAGAGAGAGCTGGGTGGACAGGGAGAAGCTCCACTGGGCGCCTCTCCCCAGAGCCTCTGCCAGCCTGACAGTGGGCTCCAGGGCACAGATCGCACACCCCCGGGTGCTCAGTCAATGGCTGAGGCTGTCTGGGAAGCACAGGACCTCAGCTCAAATGCAATGGGGGGCCTTGCAGGTGCCGCCTCTAGAGAGTGTTAGTGCAACGCTTTCCTCACAGCTGAACAACAAGCTCTTTCTTCAGGGGAAATCCAAGTGCTGCACCTCTAAGGCTACCACGGAGGCATAGAAAATGAAAGGGGTTGGGAGTGCTTGTGCTCCAGGAGACAAGGAAAAGAGACTTAGGTCCTGCCTTCAGGAGCCCCAAATCTGGACACTAAGTTGATGACTTAAGACTGAATTCCCTTCTGCAATAATCCCTGGACTCTGTTGGGCTCAAGGGAGTCTGTCATGTTGCTTGGCCTGGCGGGGTCAGGTGTAAGGAGTCTAGAAGACTCCAAAGAAGAGGACCCTTCTCCACCCTGTGTGCTCCAATGGCAGTCACCGTTCTTGGTTAAGTGCTTAAGGCAGAATCCTTATGTGAGTGCAGGTGAGTGCTTATGCTTCTGTGTAGAGACGAGCGTGAGCCTGTGCCCTTGCGTGGTACAGTTGAGTCCTTAGGACCCATCTGCTCCCAGCTGGGGTCCAAACACTGGACCAAGCTAGTTTGTGTTGGGGGAGGTGGAGTAAGAGGCAAGTTTCTGGTAACTGGCACGGGAGGAGATGCATCTCAGAGAGGGTGCTCAGGACCACAGCCCC